ACTATATCTTGGGAAAAACCACAAGAACGTGAAAATGTGTAGATGAAGAATGTAGGTTAAAGGTAAAAAAATTGTGGTTATCGCGCTGTAAAAAGTTGTAATTAGCTTTTTGTGTTCGGATAATTATATGTTTCATTATTACCGGGACTTATGACATTTCTTTTGATATTATACCGACTCGCAGAATTAAAATGTAATGACAACAGATTGTTTGCAGCTGAAATTTTACGAGAATCCCGCTTTTTTGAAAAATAATACTCCTAAAAATTTTTTGTAATTTTTGTTTTCTGATAACCTCTATGAACTGAAATGGCGTAAATAACAGTTCCCGCAGCCTTTTTGACTTGAATATTTCAGTTCTTCAATTTTTTATTTTTTTCTTTGTTTCGCCAGTTTTTCGATTTGCAATTTTTGAGATTTCAAGTTTAATTTTTTAGTTTTTCAATTTTCCAACTTTTGTATTTTTCTTTTTTTTTGGTTTTGCAATTTTTCGATTTGTTTCCGGAATTTTTGAATTTTTAATTTTTAAAAAATTTTTTGCTATTTTTGTGTTCTATTAACTTCTATAAAGTTAAAACCAGTGACGTAAATGACACTCTTGCAGCTGTATTGACTTGAATTTTAGGGTTGTTCAATTTTTGAGTTTTCAAGTTTAAGTTTGCAATTTGTCAACTTTTACAATTTTCATTTTTCTTTGGTTTTGCAATTTTTCGATTTGAGTTTCTCCAGTTTTCAATTTTTCGATTTGAAATCTTTCGTTTCGATTTTTATTTTCTTGATTTTTTCAAGTACGTATTCGATTTTTCAATGTTTTGATTAAAATTTTTTTTTTAATTTTAATTTTTTCAATTTTTCATTTCTTCAAATTTTCGATTTTCAATTTTTCTAGTTTTTATTTTAAATAGTATGTACATAAAACCAAGGTATGATTTTAAATTTTTTTCATTTTTCAGTTATTGGATTTCCAAACTTTTTCATTTATTCCATTTTTTAATTTTTCGATTTTTAATTTTTCAATATTTCTGTTTTTCAATAATTAGTTTTTCCACGTTTCAATTCTGATGATTGACACCATGATTTTTCAACTTACAATTTTTGGATTTTTCAATTTTTTTTATTCGATGTGTTTTTTCTTCTTTACAATTCTAGGATTCATTAATTTTTTCGATTTGTAAGTTTCTCGATTTTTAGTTTTTTAATGTATTTACTTTTGCAAAATTATAAAATTGAAAAATCAAAAATTAAGAAACGAAAAAGTATAAAACGAAAACTTTCAAAAATCTAAAAATTGGAAATCAAGAACCTGAAAAATTGAAGAAACAAAAAATTAAAAAAATGAAAGGTCAAACATTGGAAAACGTAAAACCGAAATAGATTCAAAATCGGCAAAATGAAATATTGTAAAATCAAAACCTTGAAAATTAAAGAAATCGGAAAATCGGATAATGGAGAAATCCAAAAATTGCTAAACTGAAAGATTTAAAAATTAAATAATTGAAAAATCAAAGGACGAAAATTTGAAGAACTGAATAGAAGAAAAATTAAAAAATCCAAAGAAACATTGAAAAAATAAGGGAAATAAAAAAAACAAGAATTGTGACATAAAATCGGGAAAATTAAAATTAAAAAATGGGGGAAATGAAAAATAAACATCGAGAAAATGAAAAATAAAAAATCGAGAAAATGAAAAACAAAAATCTAGAACTTGTAAAATTAGGAGAACGAAAATTTAAAAATTGAAAAACTGAAAATTCTAAAAATGAAAAATTCTAACACCGAAAAAATGCAAATTTGAGAAATGAAAGAAAAAGAAAAACGAAAAATTGTAGTATAAAAAAAATTGTAAAATCGAAGAAAAGAGAAAAACGCATAATTGCAATATCCAAAAGATCATAAAATTTGATTTTGCGAATTTTATTTTTATTATAGCCTCTAGAAGTTAAAATAAAGAGAAGTAAAATTGAACAATCAAAAACTGGAGAACTCAAAATTGAAAAAGCTCAAAATCGAAAAAACGAAATATTGTAAAATCGAAACATTGATCATTAAAGAAATCGGAAAATCGGATAATGGAGAAATCCAAAAATTGCTAAACTGAAATATTTAAAAAATAAAAAATTGAAAAATCAAAGGACGAAAATTTGAAGAACTGAATAGAAGAAAAATTAAAAAATCCAAAGAAACATTGAAAAAATAAGGGAAATAAAAAAACAAGAATTGTGACATAAAATCGGGAAAATTAAAATTAAAAAATGGGGGAAATGAAAAATAAACATCGAGAAAATGAAAAATAAAAAATCGAGAAAATGAAAAACAAAAATCCAGAACTTGTAAAATTAGGAGAACGAAAATTTAAAAATTGAAAAACTGAAAAATCTAAAAATGAAAAATTGTAACACCGAAAAATTGCAAATTTGAGAAATGAAAGAAAAAGAAAAACGAAAAATTGTAGTATAAAAAAAATTGTAAAATCGAAGAAAAGAGAAAAACGCATAATTGCAATATCCAAAAGATCATAAAATTTGATTTTGCGAATTTTATTTTTATTATAGCCTCTAGAAGTTAAAATAAAGAGAAGTAAAATTGAACAATCAAAAACTGGAGAACTCAAAATTGAAAAAGCTCAAAATCGAAAAAACGAAATATTGTAAAATCGAAACATTGATCATTAAAGAAATCGGAAAATCGGATAATGGAGAAATCCAAAAATTGCTAAACTGAAATATTTAAAAAATAAAAAATTGAAAAATCAAAGGACGAAAATTTGAAGAACTGAATAGAAGAAAAATTAAAAAATCCAAAGAAACATTGAAAAAATAAGGGAAATAAAAAAACAAGAATTGTGACATAAAATCGGGAAAATTAAAATTAAAAAATGGGGGAAATGAAAAATAAACATCGAGAAAATGAAAAATAAAAAATCGAGAAAATGAAAAACAAAAATCCAGAACTTGTAAAATTAGGAGAACGAAAATTTAAAAATTGAAAAACTGAAAAATCTAAAAATGAAAAATTGTAACACCGAAAAATTGCAAATTTGAGAAATGAAAGAAAAAGAAAAACGAAAAATTGTAATATAAAAAAAATTGTAACATCGAAGAAAAGAGAAAAACGTATCATTGTGATATTCAAAAGATCATAAAATTTGATTTTGCGAATTTCATTTTTATTATAACCTTTAGAAGTTAAAACAAAGAGAAGAAAAATTGAACAATCAAAAGCTGGAGAACCCAAAATTGAAAAAGTTCAAATTCGAAAAAACGAAATGTCGTAAAATCGAAACATTGATCATTAGAGAAATCGGAAAATCGGATAATGGAGAAGTCCAAAAATTTGCTAAACTAAAAAATTTAAAAATTGGAAAATTGAGAAATGAAAAAAAAAATGAAAAACGAAACATTGTAATATAAAAAAAAAATGTAAAATTGAAGAAAAGGGAGAAACGATAAATTGTGATATCCAAAAAAATTATAAAATTTGATTTAGCAAATTTTATTTTTTATACTAACCCTTATAAGATAAAATAAAGATATAATAAGTATACATGTAATGTTAAAATAAATATAAAGAAGCCTGATATGCAGTGGGGACAGTACTAATAATTTTATAATTATTGAAAATATAAAAATTTGCCAGACTAACTTAGTAACTTCAGGTCAATTTAAATTGAAATCGTGACTAACTGTACCATTTAAAAGTGGAGCTCAGTCTATTCTTAGCGATTAAAATTCTTAAAACTAAGGACTGGATATCCTGAGGTGCCGGCGAATTAGCGCTGGGTGATCTATTTACCTGCTCTGATGATGGGTTCATCGGTCGTTGCCTCACGAATTCACCCAATCTAACTACCTGCACGATTTTCTACGAAATATTGGATCAAGATTTGGCGTTCATCCAGTTTTTTTTTGCTAATTAATTATATTATTTATTAGTAACCCTCAGGACTGACGTGGACTTTCTGACCGCATACATGATATAAAAACATGAATTACTTATCTAAAAGAAGTAACCGAAAGTCATCGTGCACACAACATTTTTTTTCGAACACATTTTTTGTTTAGAGAAATGTAAGCATATACTGGCGGAAGTGGTATTTTGTTTCTATCATTTTATGAACCGACTATATCGTGAAATAAAAGAATACAAACATGTTTTTAACAAATAGAAAATTATCTATCGTAAGCAGAGGGCGGATTGTCAGGCAAATATCTGTCGATGTTTAAAAATATTTTTATAATTTTGCATTTTTTAAATGTATATAAATACTCAAAATTTATTAACGATTTATTGTTATAAAGAAGTACAATTTTTGTACTGTATTTTGGAATTTGAAAACAAACGCAATTTGGAATACAATTAGAAACCATAATTGTGACACCAAGTTAATTTTAAGCAGTAATGAATTTTTAAATAGGTTATATGAGTGCTATTTATTGCTAAATCTTATGAAATTTTGTACATATTTGGTTAAACGTTTTGAGTCTTCTGTGACGCAACAGATATTATAAAGTTGTAAGCAACTAAGACCAAAAATATGTATATGTTTTCCAAGTTTAAGCATAAGCTTTATCAGCTTAATAAGCACTGCGAATATTTCCACTAATGTAAAATAATCACTTAAAGAAGTTCCTGTTCCTGGTGAAGAACAGATATTTATTTCTTTAAAAACGTCCAGGATTTTAATCTCCGTTTAGACAGAGGGAAGTGTCCGATAATAAATAATGATGGAAGGAATTTCAGTACCCATTTCTTTTGATGCTGAACTTGACACTGTTTGTAGTATCTTTTTTTTTCATTCAGTATCATTTTAAATTTTTTTGTGCATAGAGATCGGCCTTCTAACCGAAGCGGTTACGCTTCCTTTCGTTATCATTTTACATTACCTATATAAAGCAAAAGAAAATTTTTACCTGCAGTAGTTTTACCGTCACTTAAAGGCATTTAAGCGGTGCTAAATCTAAAGAAAATGGTGAAAATTGGCGAAACTGTGACTATTACAGACACCACCAAGTTGCTCGGAGATGTCGCATCACTCTACCTCAACCAGAAATTTTCCGATATTGCTTTGCTCGTTGATGGCGAAAAAATATATGCTCACAAGGTTAGTTTCCAATTGCTTGATTAGACAGTTATCAAAAAAATATCACACTGTAGGTGATTCTGGCCGTGAGGAGCGAATACTTCGAGTCTCTACTATACGAAGATCCGCAAAACACAAAACAGGTACAAGATTTAACAGGTTCTTGCAAAATTATATTTACACAAAAATTTTAGACCGAAATAACCATAACCGGTGCGTCTCTGGATGCTTTACGTAGTCTGTTGAAATACATTTATACAGGTGGATCACCATTTTTTACAACAGAACCACATTCATTTCGAAATTTCAGGTACCATCAATGTTTTGTCCGATGTTGAAACAACCCTCCAGATGCTAGGACTCGCCCACCAGTATTCATTCGCAGACCTCCAGACTGCCCTCATCAAACAAATAAAACCTCTTTTAAATTTGGAAAATATTTGCACCGTCTTCAACACTGCCAATATTTACGATTTAGAAGAACTTCTCCAAACTTGCCATTCTTTCATGGAACTTAATGCATTAGAAGTCGTTGCTGGTGACTGTTTCACCGACCTGTCCCAAGTAAAACCGGAGTAGTGTCAATTTTACACACATTAAACTTTTGTTGCAGAAATCGATGATTAAACTTTTAGAACGCAGTACTTTTTTTGCTCCCGAAATCGAAATTTTCAAAGGCGTGGCTAAGTGGTGCAAAATCAACAACGACGTTGATGATTTAGTTATACAGTGTGTTCGTTTATCTTGGATGACTGTCGTGGACATCGTCTCTACAGTCTGGCCTTCGAGATTATTCGATTGCGAAAAATTGTTACAGGCAATTGCCGAAATCGTTGGAGTCAAAACAAAACTTTCTACCTCTAGAGGGTTCTATCGTAAGAATGTTTCTCCAAATTCAGACAAAATAAGTAAAGTGGGAGTTTTAAGTTTTGGACGAAAATTTAGCGACTGTACAACACAAAGCTGAAGTGATTTCTGGATCAAATTCATCTTGGTTGTTGATGGGCGGTGGAAACGTAGAGAGCAAGTTTACGTCCCACTATATAGACGGTAAAAGTGCGATTATTGTGAAGCTTGGTGCTCCATCTTTTGTAAATCACTTTAAAATGCGACTATGGGATGGCGATCAACGGTAGGTACAAAAATATCACTTATACTTTAAATAAAAACCGTTGTAGGTACTATTCTTATTACATTTCGGTTTCGCTTGATCAAAAGAACTGGAAAAGAGTTATCGACTACAGTCTTATTAGTTGTCGTTCTGACCAGGTTTTGTTTTTTAATCAGCAAGTGGTTAAGTACATAAAAATCGGGGGAACACATAACACCGCTAATAATGTAAGACCCTAAACCACATTTATGTCATTTAACTTTCTATTAATCAGGGGTTTCACATCATATCTTTTGAAGCGTATTTCAAAAATGACGTCCCTACAACCACAAATGGCATTATCTGCCCAAATTATAACGTTGCAACTTTAGATAAGAAAGCGGTTGTGATTAAAGGGTAAGTGAAAGAATGTAGGCAGTATAATTCTAGATGTGTCAGTTTTTAAAGTGAGAATCCTTCCGCGTTGCTGGATGGTAATGCACGTGACTACGATGGGAACAAAGGCTTTTCCTATCATTTTTTTGACAAAGGAAATCTTACCATACAACTGGGTACCTCAGCGAAATCTTTACTTCTTGTTGTTAATATTACCAATTCGTAGCTCAACCTTACATGATTTCAACAATGAAACTTTTATTATGGGATGGAGATGGCAGGCACTATAGATATTTGGTTGAAACTTCTGTAAATAATTCAAACTGGGAAATTGCGGTCGATCTACGAAACAAAGATTGTAGATCTTGGCAGAATCTTCTTTTTAAAGAGAGAGCTGTAGTTTTTATAAGGATAACGGGAACTCATAATACTGATACGGGCAACACCGTAAGTCAGACCTAATTTTGTTTACCTTTTGCCTTTCAACAATTATAGGGTTTCCATGTGGTTCATTTCGAATGTCCGTCCGAGGTGTGAAAGACATGAATTAAAGATTTGGCGACTGCTGACAAGGTTTCAAAGTGTATGCTTTTGAATGACAAATAAAATAATTTTATCAAATTTGTGTTTATAATAGTAAATAAAAACAGGACGAAGGGGAGCAGTTGAGTAGGCAGCTAGGTCACTCGATTTAACCCCACTTGACTTTTTTCTGTGTAGTTATGTAAAAAATCGAAGAACTCTAAGAAAGAATATTAAATGTGATTGCTGATTTTTCTCCTAATATTGTAAAAAAAATTGAAACGATGAATTGAATGAATGAGTCAATTTATTTGTTCAAACTGGCAGTGCCAACAAAAGAAAATCTCCTGGAAGACCTTTAGTATCTGAGGAAGTTTTTAATGATTGGAGACGACTCGAGCTTAAAAATATTTTAGAAATTAAACTGGAATAAAAAGTTTTTGAACTTATTGCCTGCCTGACAAAGAATGCAAGGAACAATAGAGAAAATAGAATACCACTCAACTGTTCAATAAAGGTTTTGTCCAGGTCGAGGAAAAAATATTTTGATTCTCAAGTGGAAAGTTAATTTTTAAGTTACGACATTTACAACTTGAGAAGAAAAAATATATTTTATTATCAAGTGTCTATTCAAGGTCAAAAATAGTATTGGCCAATATTCTCCCGGATTTTGAGTATTGCGCTTCATTTAGATTCTAATGAAAAAATATGGTTATGACATTCCACAACTACATTTTAGAGGAGAAATCTACGGTTCTCTTCCAAAAGGAGCACGGCGTCCTTCGACGTCTTTTTATTATTCTGTTGGTAGCAAAGTCAGTGATGAAATAAATTAGGGCATTATGTAGAACCTTGTAATATATTATTGTGCGAGGCTGTGTAAATCACAAATTTAGTAATGACAAAAGAAAACAATATCTAAGTCTAATCTTGGTTTATGTGTAACTTTTACAATGATCTCCACTCCAAATAAATATATTGGTTTCTTATTTCAGTAAATATAATAACTATGGGACAATTTCTTACGAAAAATTTTAAAAACAAGGATTACCACATTAAAAACTTGAAAAAATATCAACATATTTCAACAAATTCGGACACAAAGGTAAATGTATTATGATTTTACCACTTTAGAAAATAATTATTAGATACTTTCACAAAAATCTACTTACCACGAGCAAACATCTCAAAAGCGTCTGATTGTAACACACCAATAACTACTGCTTTTAGTGGGTTTTTAGATCGTATTTATAGAGATAATCTCTGTCACCTTTACAAAAATCTTCACTTTTATCATGTAAATATTATTGCTTGTCGAGGATTAAACGTAATCCTTTACAGCGTATGAATACGAATTTACTAGAATTAAATAAGCAGGATTTCCCAAGTATGCTTTTCGTACACAGTTACATGACTAAATAATACTTGCCAACTCTATTCAAACAATAAACACCAATAAAACTTAATGGCTTTTCCACAAATTTATTTTATTTACATTTATATACACTCCTATGACCAGTCAAGATATGGGTAAATTTACAGTGCATGTACATAGCTAGAATAAAAAAATAAATATATATCTGTCTATCAATAATAATTTAGAAATTTAGTCATCAAAGTGTAGTGATTGCAGAGTTTTACTTAAAAATATAAATTGTTGGTTAATCCCGTTTGCAAACTAGGCGTGGTACTGATACGAATTATCCTCAGATTGACATCTTGGGGATTGAGTGTCCTTCTGAAGAACTTCTGGAACCTGGTGCTTAGCAACCAAACAGAATTGTCCTGCTCGCGCCATCTTAGTTCTGCGGCAAACTGAAGCTTGTCTTGGTCGTAGGCGATCAATCTGTTAAAAATAAACAATCAGTCTTTTACAATTTAGAAAAATCAACATACTTTTGTTGATTGGTCACTGGATTCCAAGCGGCAACTGAAGTTTCTCTGACCGGACTGAAGTAGATCGTGTCGTCTTTTGGGTCCAGAGCTAGACCTAAACCTTGCGATGCTTTTTTACCAACAAGGGTAATAGGCAGTTCTTCGTCTTGGGAAGGAGGTCCCTTGCGCAAAGCAGAAGCTGGTATGCTGAAGAGTCTGAAAGGTTTGTGTTAAAACGAGTATAGGCAACCAGTTATACAAACCTGTCGGTCGCTAATGGTTGGAAGTACACAGTGGATAATTTCGGGGAAAAGGCTAAACCCACTACTCCATCCATGAGGGTGAATCTTTCCCCAGCAATGGTATAGTCGGAGAAATCGGGGTCAGGGAACATGGTAGGGTGCATTATACGCCATGCGGTGTCTCGGGCTCCATCATACACCACCATTCCTGAATACATCTATATTATTGACCGACACTATGTTTACCTATATATATTTCGTCATTATATAAATACAGTTTGGAGTTTCGTCGTATCATAATTTAAACTCAAAGTATATTTATTTTAGTACAAGGACAAATATTTGTTATTATGGTTATACTACCTGGAGCTGCGGTATCTGCCATGTACACAAAAGCGCTATCGCAGGTCCCTTGTGCTGTTTCGTCTATAATGAGGTTAGCTAGAAGCGAATTGGGCCTAAGTACTTGCCGAGGGAAAACGACAGTTCTGACAACTTGGTCGGTGGCTAAATCAAAAACCACCAGTTTTGGTGGACAAATTCGCTGGAAATCTTCAAGGGATAAGTTGACGCCGGCATCCAAAACCTGAAACAGTAGATGTTTTACTTTTTGTGTATAATTTATAATAATAAGTGCATATATAGTTTTGGTTTTGAAAAAGCGAACTCTAACTCTATTTGTAGTCGTGATTAAACGTTCTATTAAATATATGATTTTCGGAATCTTCGGTGAAAATCCGCATTGTTCAAAAGGTTTACTCCAACAGAAATTGTAATTTTCTGAAAATCTCGGTATATTAGTTTACTTTGATTGGAACCGTTTCCATAACAGAGCATTATTCAAACATTAAAAATCTATATAGTGTCCGTGTGAACTTATCAAAGATTAAAAAAAAATCTGGTCAAAAATAAAAAATTACAGACTTTTAGAGATAGAGACATCCAAAAATTTGTATATCCGTCAAAACGACAAAAAATATTGCTCTGAGATATTCCTGAACTGAATTAAATCGTTCCAGTCAGTGAAAAACCGAGTGACTATTATGTCGCCTGAGAACTTGTTTGATCTACAGACCAGAGCGCACTCAGGCCGATATCGACTCTAAACGATTTATTTATAATATATGAACAAAGTTCTTGAATATTTTAACGATTTAATACATAATGTTCCCGAATGACAAAATTTATATTTCAAATTGTATTATCAAATGGTAAAACGATCACCAACAATGAAATGATGTAATTTCCAATTTTACATTAGTTGAAGTATTTTAAATTTTATACCCTCTGTCTACGGTTTATGAATCCGTGTTTAAGTTTTTAAGACTTTTCGATGTCTCGATTTGTCAATATTTCAATTTTGGACCTTTTCAATTTTTTCATTCTTCAAATTTTAAGTTTCTCGATTTTTTTATTTTTCGATTTCTCAATTTTCCAGTGTTTCAATGATACGATTTCTCAATTTTTGTCCTCTTCAATTTTAGACATTTTTCAAATTTTAATGTTTCTAAATTTTTAGCTTCCCGACTTCTGAACCAAACTTTTTCTTTATTTTCCCGATTCTCGACTTCCCAAAGTTTCAATTTTTTAACCTTCCGATTTTTTTACTTTTTTAGTTTTTCGATTTCTCGCTTTTTCAATTTTTTGGGATTTTTTCAATATTTTGATTTTTCGACTTTTCGATTTTTAGGCTCCCGAATTTTTTAATTTCTGGATTTTTTGCTTTCTGGATTTTTAGTTTTTCATTAAACCTTATAATTTTCAATTTTTCGACTGTTTTATACTTCGATTTCTCCATTTTTCGATGTTTTAATATTCCAATTGTTAAAATTCTAGGTTTTACGATTTCTCGAGTTTTCAGTTCTTCTATATTTCATTTTTTCAATTGTCCAGATTTTTTAATTTTCGATTTTTCGAATTTTCCTTTTTTAAAATATTTCGATTTTTCAATTTTTTGATTTCTTGATTATTCGAATTCAGATGTTTCAACCCCTCCATTTCTCAATCCTATGATTTTTAGATTTCTGGATGTCTCAGTTTTTGAATTTTTCGATGTTTCGATCTTTGGATTTCTCGGTTTTCAATTTTTCCATTTTCCAAATTTTTGATGTTTCGATTTTTCAGTTATCCGATTTTTAAATTTTTCACTTTTTTAAATTCTGGAGTTTCGATTTCTCGATATGTCGATTTTTCATTTTTTCAATTTTTAAATTTCAGATTTTCGATTTTTTTTTTATTTTCTGCGATATTTTAATTGTTCAATGTTTTAAATTTTAGATTTTTCGATTTCTCGTTTTTTAATTTTCCAGTTCTTCAGTATTTCTGTTTTTCAATTTTCAAATTTTGACCTTGCATTAATGTTCAGTTTTCCGATTTCTCAGTTAATCGATTTTTGATTTTACTATTTCTCGACTTCTCGAAGTTTCGATTTTTCATTTCTTCAATTCTTCGATTATTCGACTTTGCTTTTTTTGGTTTTCGATTTCTCAATTTTTATTTTTGGATTTTCAGTTTTCCGTTTTTTAAACTTAAGATTTTTCAATTTTCCGTCTGTTTTATATTTCGATTTCAGTCTCTCGATTTATCGATTCCTCGGTTTCTCGATCTTTTGATTTTTCGATTTCTCGATGTCTCAGTTTTTGAATTTTTCGATGTTTTGATTTTTGAATTATCCGAGTTTTCAATTTTCCAATTTTTTTTAATTTTCGAGTTTCGATTTCTCGATTTGTTGATTTTTCAGTTTTTCGATTTAAAATCGTAGATTTTCGTATGTTTATTTTTTTTTATTTTTTGATGTTTCGATTTCTTCATTTTTCAATTTTATGATATTTTAATTTTTCAATGTTTTAAATTTCAGATTTTTGAATTTTTGGGTTTTTCACTTTTTGGATTTTTAGTTTTTCATTAAGCCTTATAATTTTCAATTTTCCGACTGTTTTATATTTCGATTTCAGTCTCTCGATTTATCGATTCCTCGGTTTTTCGATCTTTTTATTTTTCGATTTCTCGATGTCTCAGTTTTTGAATTTTTCGATGTTCCGATTTTTCGCTTTTTCAATGTTTTGATTTTTGAATTATCCGAGTTTTCAATTTTCCAATTTTTTTTAATTTTCGAGTTTCGATTTCTCGATTTGTTGATTTTTCAGTTTTTCGATTTAAAATCGTAGATTTTCGAACGTTTATTTTTTTTTTTTTGATGTTTCGATTTCTTCATTTTTCAATTTTACGATATTTTAATTTTTCAATGTTTTAAATTTCAGATTTTTCTGTTCGACTTTTTGGTTTTTAGGCTCTCGAATTTTTTAATTTCTGGATTTTTGAATTTTTGGATTTTTTACTTTTTGGATTTTTAGTTTTTCATTAAGCCTTATAATTTTCAATTTTTCGACTGTTTTATACCTACTTCGTTTTCTCAATTTTTCGATGTTTTAATGTTTCAATTGTTAAAATTCTAGGTTTTACGATTTCTGGAGTTTTCAGTTCTTCTATATTTCAATTTTTCAATTGTCCGGATTTTTAAATTTTCGATTTTTCTAACTTTTCTTTTTTAAAATATTTCCATTTTTCAATTTTTTGATTTCTCGGTTTATCGAATTCAGATGATTCAACTCCTCAATTTCTTTATCCTATGATTTTTAGATTTCTGGATGTTTCACTTTTTGAATTTTCCGATGTTTCGATCTTTGGATTTCTCGGTTTTTCGATTTTTTACTTTTGGGTTTTTCAATTTTTCCATTTTCCAAATTTTTGATGTTTCAATTTCTCAGTTATCCGATTTTTAAAATTTAGATTTTCGAATTTTTTTTTAATTTTTTGCGATATTTTAATTGTTCAATGTTTTAAATTTTAGATTTTTCGATTTCTCGTTTTTTGATTTTTCAATTCCTCAGTATTTCTGTTTTTCAATTTTTCAAATTCTGACCTTGCTAAATGTTGTTTTCCGATTTCTCAGTTAATCGATTTTTGACTTTTTTTCTCAATCTTTGGATATTTCTTTCAGTTTTGGGATTCTCCAATGTTTTGATTCCTTGACTTTTCGATTTTTCGACTTCTGGATTTTTCGATTTTTCGATTTTTTATTTTTGGATTTTCATTTTTCCGTTTTTTAAACTTCAGATTTTTCAATAATTTTTCCAATTCCAGAATTTTTAAATTTTCGATTTTTCAATTTTTTGACATCTCGTTTTATCGAAATGCAGATGGTTCGATGTTTTGATTGTTCAGTCTCTCGGTTTATCGACTCCTCCGATATTTTAGTTTTTCAATGTTTTAAATTTCAGATTTTTCTGTTTTTTAATTCTTCAGTATTTTTTAATTTTTCAAATTTTGACGTTTCTGAATTTTCAGTTTTCCGATTTCGCAATTAATCTATTTTTTGATTTTCCCATTTCTCGACTTCCCAAAGTTTCAATTTTTAGTACTTACTTCAGTTCTTCGAATTTTCGATTTTTCAGGTTTTTGATTTTTCAATTTTTCGATTTTTTAAGCTTGCGATTTTTTGACTTTGTTTTTTTGACTTTTCGATTTCCCAATTTTTCAATATTTTAAGTTTCCCAATTTATGGATATTTCGTTCGATTTTGTGATTTTTTAGTTTTCCGATTCTTCAATTTTTTTTCCATTTTTCAAATTTTCGATATTTCAGTTTGAGGATTTTTTAGTATTTCGACTTTTCGATTTTTCTAGTTTTGGATTTTTCGATTTCTCGGCTTTTTACTTTTTGAATATTCTATTTTTCGTTTTTTAAACTTCAGGTTTTTCAATTTTTCGACCGTTTTATACTCCGATTTCTCAATTTTTCGATATTTTAACTTTCTTAAGTTGATATTGAAAAAAGAAAACAAAAAAAAACTAATAAAATACAGGGTTTTCTATTTGAAAAAAGTGAAATATCCACTTTCAAAACACACTCTACATTAAAATTTGGTTTAATTAATTTAAAAAATAACGTGTTTGACTTTTCTAGTAACCCTTGTATTGTCATTTTTGATGATTTTTATCGGAATTTTAGACTGTCAATTAAAGTATTAAAAGATATCAGAATTTCGAAGTTTATTCTTCAAATTTGAAGTTTAATATTTTCAAAAATTTTGTTCATGGACTTTTTGGCCATGTTTTTTGAGTTCTTCAGAGCCTTCTTAGCAACGTACCATCCAGATTATAAATCATTTTTTCATCACCCTGTGTATAGAGTGCTCTATTAAAAAAACTGAGTTGTGTGTATAATTAGAGCTATATTTTTTTTAAACAATAATTTAAGTTTAATAAAAAATGTTGTGAGGAAATCTTGATGATTTTGTTTTTTAGTGTTAAATACAAATAAGATCTAGATAGTACAAAACTGTCGACTAGGTATAAAAAATACATAATAAAGAAAAAGTGGTCTTAAAATTATTTAGACAGAACAGAAAATTAGCAGTGCAATATTGAAAAAAATCAAGGGGGATTTATAAATCACAAATACAGAAGTATAATATTTTATTATATTGTTGGTAGATATGACCAGACAAATTTGGCATCGCGTTTTGCCGTCAATATGAGATTCCTAAAATATTTATAAAATTTCACAACAATCACTTCGGTAGTTTATTTTACAACTTGTAAGAACTTTAAAAAGTTTCTAAATCTTAAAAAACAAATTTCTAAAAATAACTAACACTTCATTTGTGTCATCATGTCAAAATATAGAGCGATAGAGAATAGCGACATAGGCTGTCCCAACGTCGCAAAACGTTGCACATGTGTCTAAAATTATTAAAAAATAATTTGACGCAGTGTAATCTATAGAAGATGTTGTTCCATTTCAAGGTTATATATCAAAGTTGATTTTTTTTTATGAAAAAGCCTGTATATTTTTACAAATGTAAGTTATTTGTGAGATCTGACACAAAATTTGTTTGATCTATTATCTATTTTTAATAAATACATTTCAAAGAAAATAAACATTAAAGAAATTCCAGAAACACAAATTAATCCACACACAAGATAAAAACTCACCCATAACCTGTTGCAAGAATCCTGCCTCATTCGGTACACGGAAGTGAGCCCATCGCAGCTGTCATTCTGCCCCTTCCCCAGCTTATGGAAATCCCAGCTAGGATACGCCTCCAGGCGCGGACTGGAACCAGGAGGCGTATGCCGAGGAATCACGGTCAGAGTGGCAGCGACGCCTGACCATAACCGTGGAATAGACAAAAATATCCTGTCATTAGTTATCTCAAGTCCAGTGAACACGTTAGTCTCGGGCCTGCAATCGATACTCAATCAAAATTCTTCATGGTTTCGCATTGTCGGCGTACCTAAAATTGTTGATTAAACCGTAATCGTACGGAATATTGAGGTCCAACAAGTTCCATTCGTTTAAAACTTCTAATTCTAGGGACAGGACTGTTGGTGATAGAAGTGCGAGGAAGAGTGCTAGAAGTGGCCACATTTTGCTTTCCTGAAAAAAACAAGATTTTAGTACAAAAAGCATTAAAAAAAAGTTGCGATGGCCGGGAATCGAACCCGGATCAACTGCTTGGAAGGCAACTATGCTGACCATTACACCACCATCGCACTTGAACGATGCCGTGAAACTCCGGCACCAAACCGACTAAGTGTTTTACTGGTTGTCTATTTTTTGTTTTTAGAGGATGTAATTTCACGCTTGCATTGTATTATGCCATTGATTTCGAGTGAAAAAATTATATTGTTTACAATTATTGACCACGACCTTGCCAAAATACCATTATTTTGTAATAAATATTTTAAAGTTTTAATGTTTTATAAACGGTTTGTGCTTCTAGAGTTTATTCTTAACATAAAAAATCCCACAAAAAAACAGTGATTGATCAGTGCAAAAAACACTGGAATGTTTGTGTTCATACGGAAGTGAATATATTTGATAATAAAAATTAAAAAATAAAATAAAATTATGCAATAATGGTTTGACAAGTTCATTTACTTTTTGTACGATCTAGATTTTGTCAATTAATTTTAAAAATTTTGTTTGATGTGAATGACTATTTTTTCTTTACAATAAAATTTGTAAAAAAACGTCAATTTTATTTAGAACAGAATTTCCGTTAAAAATTAAATTTTTTTTAAGTACATACCTACGAAAATTATATTGGCAGAGCTTCCCTCGTCCTTGAAGCACGATTGAACAAGCTCAGTTTGTTAGATAAATTGATAAAGGTGACTATGCATGTTTTTTTAATGAACTTCATAACTACTTCATAAATACAAAGTAACATTCCGTTCCCAAGTTTTAGAAAAATTAGATAGGTAAACCATTTTTAACTTGATCAATAACATTGTTGATGGAGGTGTTTCAAAATATTTTACATTAAGGAACTCGGTGTTAAACATGTTAAATGTTCACTATAAAAATATAAATATATACCAAAATAAAAATTCACCAAGCTACTTTTCAATGTGAAACCTTACAATACCTTAAAAATTACGAGATTATAATTTGACAAGCTGCAATGTAACCGTGTAGTTAACAAGTTTAAGAACTTATTTAACATATGCATAATCCTTAATACTTTTTATTTTGTTTTCACCCAACAACATGCACCTTTCAAGAAATCAGGTGTCAGCTTGTTTTTACTTCCCAAGCTTAAGCTAAGAAAAAATTTTTATTCAGGTGTTCGAATAAATCCATAAACATCTTAGTATCAGCAGTAATTTTGAAAGGCTGCCTGTAGGCGTGTAGTATGTACATGTATTTTATTAAAACTCGTGAATATTTATATCACGATTTTAGTAATTAATCTAAATACTAAAAGATTATCTGTGACAGAATGTAATTTATTTGGATTTTTATTTACCTAGAGTCAAGCTAAGTAATTTATTTTAGTGACAGAGAAAGTAGGAAAAATTTTACTGATCATGTAAGCTGTTATCACTTATCAGTGACGTAGCTTGTGACTTGCAATTACGCACTTGTATGTACACTACCACTAATGCATAAATTTCAATTTAATGCAAACTAATGTGTGTTCTGTTTTAGCCAAAGTAGTCTGTAAATCTGGTTGGTAGTCAGTGTTTTTGTTGTAATTCTGTTGACTATATTTGTTGAAATAATTTTATATCTGTTGTGTCATTTATAAGTAAAGAGCGGATTCTAAGGGCCCTTTCATTTTGACTGTAGGCAAATGAAAGTTATATATAAATGTGTATCTGGTAAAATCTTTATTTTAATTTGAGCCCTACTTGTTTATGCCTATTTGTCTATTTTTGATCATGAGTGCCTTTTTCGCATTTTTTCTACCTATTTTACTTCTAAAATTTGAAGTTTCTATACCCTTAAGCACATGTTTCTTGCGAAGGTTCGATATAAAAACAATTTTCACTCCAAGACAAAACTCCAAAATCCTCACATACGACCAGTCTGGAGAGTAACAGAAATTTCACAGGCAGCTGTTTTACATTCTGCAGGACCACGACTCTATCGACTACTTAAAAAAAATGGATTAAAAAAATAAAAAAAATTCCAGGTATGTTCCAGACTTCCTGATATATTATATTTTAACTTCAATCAGAAGATAACGCAAGAAATATTAGGTATATGAAGTTATTAAATTTATAGAAGATGCAGGATTTTATGTATGTAGTATCGTTTCCAATTTGGAGGGCGGTAATAGAGGATTATATGGAAATTTGGCTGTCGATGGAAAGAAACCTTGGTGTAAGAAAAAAATTTAGATACAATGTCAGACACTATGTGTACGATGAGAGTTAAAGGAAAACCGTTTTTGATGCCGTTTCAAGCAATTATTCAGGCCAATAATGCTCTTAAACTGTTATTTAATGACTTGAAAGACAATTTTGCACTTAATTACTCCAACATTTTAACATACAGACTAAACCAAAATGTTTTAGAGCATTTTTTTGGACAAATGAGGTCCAAAGGAGCATTATATGACCATCCTGATGCTTTAGATCTTAGATACAGGTTGAGAAATTTTATTTTTGGAAGAAATGAAGATTCAATGTCAGAAGAAGCTAACGTTGAAGAAGATGATACTCCAGATAGCCCTATAAACAACATAGGATAGATTTTGTTAAGCGGTAAAATGTCTTTCTTCTTTAACTACGGAAAATAATGCAACCAAGAAAATGCTGTTGGAATGTGGAAAACACACTTTTCTTATGTGTCGAGATGTTACTTTTTTGTGTACTCGATTTTTGAACATTTAAAAGAGAATTTCTAAAGTAGATTTCGATTCAGGATACACAATTAGACAATTACCATAACAACAAGTCCGTTCATGATAATCAAACAACAACGTAAAAAAGCAAAACATGGATAATTCTGAAGATCTTGGCATTTTCAAATAACCTATAGAAGCCACTGCAAATGTAGCACTTGTGAAAACGTAAGAAAAGTATGAAAACTGTTATATTATAATATAGAGGTTGTACAACACATTTTTTAAATACATTGTGGTGACCGAATTTGAATTAAAATTTCGCGCTGAAAAAAATTAACAGCGGCGCGAAATCGCATTTGATTAATTTGAATTTAAAAGAAAAAAAATGCAATCAAAAAAAGTGTTAAACATAGGTAACCATGTGCACGTTAACGCTTTTGGGTAGTGGGTAGTTTTCTGCTTGGAATTTTAGTTAGAGGGTTGTTAGAAGAGGGCGGAATGGTAGAGAGGTGAAAGCGTCATTGTTGGTTTGGTTCTCTGTGTGAAAGCATGGTGAAAAGACGCGGTGAATAGGTTAAAAAAAGTTAGTTTGTTTAACGACAATTAATCGTAACGACGATGATGCCACAGTTCACAGATCACGTTAGGATTTTTATCGTTAACTGGTTCTAACACAATTTAACAGATATTAGAGTTGTTTAGATAAACACTTACTAGGAGATTAATAGTTCATTTACGGCAGTTAAATTAACCTAACGTTGCCCCATTGTGGAAAAAGGCTATAAAGTTCATAATATCGTGGACTGACAGGGGGGAGTAAAGATTTCTCTCCTTAGACAGTTATCATCGTTATCATCATCATATCACCGAGACGCATTTCCCTCTCAATGTGAATAATTACATCATCGAGGAGCTTTCCTCGTAACGCCTGATACATTTTGTGTTTATTTATCATGTGTTTTGTTTGGGGAAACAGTCCACAATATAAACTCTCAAAACAAATTGTTTTAAGTAATTAATCACTTGGATCAGGGCATAATGCAACATCATATAAATTCCTTGTTTGAATCGTTGATAAAGTGTGTCAAATATTAAACTCATGTAAACTTGGTACCTTTGCAATTTTTCATCTCATACAATTTTTTCTCTATTTCACAATTTTGACTTCAGTAATTTTCTTTGTAGTAGATATAATTTAAATTGAAAATAAATTTTCATGCTTTGCGGTTTCTCACCTCACGTAATATTTTTATTTGCACAAGTTTTATTTCACACCAGATCTTTTGTTTTTTAAAAATCTTTGCTAGTTTTTGTTTTGTAAATATTTTGTTGGTGAATGTTTCCTTCATATAAATTATCTGATGTTGAATCTTAATCTCAAATAAGAATTATTTGTTGTTTAAAAATTCACAAGATGGTATGGCGAATTTAAAATGTTGTTTAGTGCTCTTTTTGAAACTTTGACACTTGTTCAGTTGTAGTTTAATATCAGAGTAATAAGAATTGAACATATAAACAGAATTAAAATTAAATAACACAGAAAAACGTGGTTGAAGCGGAGTGCGCGGTTCCTAGTCGAGCTGGCGGGATTTATCGTTCCATCTGCACAAAAGATACAGATTAGAATAGAATTCAGGGGCGGTTGAGATGACGTTACGCCGTCGACTTGGTCCAATAATCCAATGTCATTGTATTCATATTTTTTAGATTTGCTTAAAGAGCAGGTGAAAAAAAAATTAATGAATGAGACAATTTATTTTATTGGTTAAATCTGGCTCGCTTCATTTTCCTAGAAAAGTTTGGAAATATATACAATACTGTTATTTTGAGTATTACACTGCACTAATCATCACAAATTGTGTAAAAAAAAACTCAACTCGAAAATGCTTCGAGGTTGTGTCCAAATAATTTCGACCAAATTTTTAGCCTCAAATCCGCTGCAAATCTTTGTAATAAAACTTTATTTAATAAATGAATAATATTTTTGAATCACATCATCAGTTTCATTTTTAGTCACATTTGGAATATTACCAGTTTTTGCAATTTCACAATTAAGGTAATGAATTCATTCTTTTATTGCAGCGTGACAAATGGGTATTTCTACTACGTAAAAGTAGTTACAAGTTATTCATTTATGGAATTATAAGCTTCTCAAAGAAATGCCTGATGACATCACTGTTACAAACGCAAGTAATGCAAAACATCCAATTAGTGGAAGATAAAGTAACCTTTAATATTTTTTTAATTTTTCGGTGTTTCCCTAAAGAAACTAAGTGTAATTCACTGGCCAATTTCGGTG